AGATCTTCCAAAATTTGTGCAAGATTGACGGGCTGCTTCATCGGATCAGACTCCCCTGTGTAGGTGGAGCTCTCTGGTGTTTGATCGGACATTTTTTTTTTTATGTTTTTTATGGTAGATGATGAATGCTTCATTTCATTCAATCATTTGATCGAATGATGGCTCTAATACCATATTAGAAATATTAGAATGAATTCACAGCAGAATATTCATCTTATTCAATTCATCATAGAATGATGAGTATAAATATTACAAAGTAAATAATCAAGACAATCAAGGAAGGTGAGTGGAATTTATCAAATATCTTTGATTGGTAATTTTATTCCAATCAAAGATATTATCCTAATCATCACAATCAACACTATTCTTTTTTTGACTTTTCTAACAGTTTTTCCTCTCCCCATTATATTGCCTATTTGCCTGCTTGAATCCTCAAGTTGTTTGAAGGGTTAAGGAGCTAAATAGGAGTAAAACATTGATAAAAATCTAAAATAGGAGTGAAAACATAAAATCCCCAAAATAAGAGTTGTTGACTTGCCACTGCCAAGATCTGCCACTTCTCGGCCATACACTGGGAGCAATAGGTTAAATCTTTGCTGCGGGGATCTAACCGTCCCACTGCATCAGGCTCTTTAATTATAGAACTCATCTTTTTTTAAATTTGGAGACTAAGGGTACAAAATCCAAGTCGGATTGGAAAATTAGATCAAAGTTAAAAAAATTTAAAAATTTCAAACCGGTCTCTGGGCAAAAGATTAAGGCCTAGAAAAAGATTAAGGCCCGGTAAAATTTTGATCATTTTGGTTCAAAATCAGATAATTTCCAATCATGGAGAAAAAATAATTCATACACTGTCAATCGAAAATACAATGCTAAAAATAACATACAATGACAAACATGACATTGTAAGATGCAAAAATACAAAATTTTAGGTCAATCGAAAACAAAATAACGAAGATGTCAATGCACAGTTACAAACGTGGTTCTGCAAAATGCCAAAAGTTCAATTGTACTCGGTGGTACATGTGCATGCATCAAGCCCATGAAGTCATTAATTATGGAAAGAAGACAATTAAAATAAACAAACACACAATCCCTCCATTGTTAGCTCTATGCCAAAAAACAAAAAAAAAAATCCACCCCCACCCATAATAATAAAAAAAGAATCCCGAAAAAAAAGAAAGAAAACAAACATAAAGAATTTGGATTGAAAAAGTACTAGCTAGCCATATGTTGGCATCCATGCATGCATGAGAGTTAGCACTGCACGTTCATTTAATTTCCACTAAAGAAGGTGTTCCATTTCTTCTCTTGGCGGTTAAACGATTGTAAAATAAAAATAGTTAATTACTCCTATTTAGAATAGTTTAAGTTTGAACTCCTACTTTGAAGATGCAACACATGTTTTACTCCTATTTAAGGGGTTTTCTTTTGTTTGAATGTACAGATCATTATTCCTCTCTCTCTCAAAACCATTTTTTCATTTGACTTTTTTTTAAAGTTTGTAAACTTTGACCTCAATATATAGAAAAAATAAATTGTGTTTCCATATAAATATAATACTCCCTCCGTTCCATATTGATTACAATTTTTTTTCTCTCCTTTAGATAACTTTTGTTTATTTACGCGATTTCATTAAGTATTTGATAAAATAAAATATTCTTGTCACCTCTTGTTTTGTAAAACTTTTGATATGTAATTTTAATTTCTTATTGATATATCGATTTGTAAATAAAATAATTTCAAAAAGTGAGAAAGTTTTCCTCGTAAATCCTAATTTGTAATCAAATTGGAGACGGAGGGAGTATCAATATTTTATGTATGAAACGTTGTTTCGAAATATTAAATTTTCTTACAATATACCATGCATAAATGTAGATATTCAATATCAAAATGTTATATTGGAAACCGTAAAAAGTCTAATCATATGGAAAGCTCCTTTGAGGATGGAGGGAGCATTCTTTACTCCGTAATATTTAAAAATTATATTTAATTTTTGAAATTTTCATAGTTAACTATCCCACAAAGGTTGGTACAACTTGATAATAATATAATTAGTCTTATTAAATAGTGAAGATTCCATCCATATTTATGGGAATACAAAGAGAATTTTAATGGTAATAGAATAACAATAATTATTGTAACCCTAGAATAACCAACGCAAATACTCTGTAACTATAATACTCAGTAATTTTCTATTTCCTTATACATTGATTTATTATGTCCAATATCCCCGGAAGCTGATCATGGATAACAAAGTGTGTCTTAGAGCACAACTACTGGAATGTAGTCGACAGAAGTAGTTTTTTGAGAATAGCCGCTACAAGTAGAGAGACAGATCTTCTTTGCATGATAAACAAGCTTGAGAGTATATTTCCTTGTAAAATAGTCTAGAATAATTTTTTTTTAAAAAATTAAATCACAAATAATAAGTTTGTGAAATTTCTGATTAGTTTGTTTGTGAACTTAGCATTTCTCATTAAAATATATTGTATAGGCATTAATTCTGGTAAGAATCAATTAATAATTTTTTCATTTTTTGGTTGGAAGAATACAAAAAAAATATAGCATACCAAAATTTTTACATTGGTAAGTATCAAATTCTGAAATGGAAAAGAAATTCCAAATACAAAATTTTTTACTATGTTTCCATTTGTTGGATGGAAGAATACAAAAAAATATTGCCTACCAATATGTTTCTATTTTTATTAAAAGGCGTTAGGTTGACTAAAATACGTATACATTCACAACATTGTAATGATGCTAATATGCATTTTTTTCATTTGCACTGTCAGAGAGATCGAATACATGTGCAGATCAGATATTCAAATATACGCACTTTAAAAGAAGATAGTATTTATTTATTGGTAAGTGTCAAAGCACTACGCAATTACCAAACAACGAAAACTACCAGCCTCCCTTTTATGCTAAAATTCATTGGCGTGATGAAACTTAAAGAGATTTCGGGAAAGTTTTCCGAATTTTTGTTACAAATTTATGAGATTTTCATTACAAATTTGTGGGATTCAGAAATTGACTTTTGGTGACAATGTGTTGTTAATTGGTAAACACCACTTATATTATTATCAATTTGTATATTTCAAAAATGATGTTAATAGTCCCTCCGTTTCATAAAACCTCTCCCTTTCGTATTTTTAAATTCCCTAAAACACTTCCATTTTCTATTAAAAATTACTTTTACCCTTATTTTTTGATACTCTACGTATCAGATCATACTTTTTCACTAATACCAGAACTATCGCATCTTACTTTTACCCATCACATCAGGAACAAAATTGAAAAGTCAACCAAAATTACACTTTTCTTATTTTTGCCCAAAGTCAAAAGTGGAAGGGTTTAAAGGAACGAAGGGAGTATAATTTACTAACGTAAATTAGGGGTAGACACAGTACCGGTACGGTACCGTGACCGGCAACGGTACTGCCGATACCCGCCACCATCACGGCCGGCCGGGGCGTTACACCGGTTCCGGGAACCGGTACAGGTACCGCCCTCCTCGGTACCGATTTTAATTTTTTTTGCTTTGCTTTCCCAATGTTCACCTACAAAAAAAGGAAAAAGTCAGTTGGGGGGGGGGGGACCTCAACGGCTATTTAGTCGTTTGAGGTGCGTGGGGGAGGGGGGTATGGGGGGGAAACTACTATATATAAATTCTACCTTTTTTTCCAAAAAAAAATCATACTCAATCCATCTCTCAATCTATCAATCTCTCAATCTTATTATTTTTTCTCAGTTTTTATACAATTTATATTTATATAATAATATAAATATATATTAATATATTACATAATAACCTATAAATACATTCATTATTCATATTATCAATTATCATATATTTTTAGTTTATTACTAATATTATAATTTTGAAATTTTCGAAATTTAATATATAATTAATTTTTTAACTATATTATTTAAATAATTTAAATATATAATTAATTTTTTAAATATATTATATTTTTTAAATAATTTATAATTTTCGAAACTGACTACCGAAGTTGTCTTAATGTTGAATATCTTGAAACACTTTTTGCAACGAAGATTGGCTCTTAGCAAGACGTCGAGCTCAAGAGTCAGGGTACGAATTCAATTCGGAGCATTACATGAATGCAATCACAGATGGAAGTCCGAGTTCTAATAAATAAATTATAAACTTTTTTTATGTTAATGTAGATATGTAATAATGTAAATATGTAATTAGTTTTTTAGGTGAACGATATATAAGCTCCTTCGAGGGTTTCTTTACGATTCTTTGTCTCGTTGCTTTTTTTGAACCGTCAGGATATTAAATGTAGTTGTTCTTCAGTTCGTGTATTACTTATTTTACAATATTTAAATAACAACTACATTTTTAGATTTTTTATTTCATTCTTTCCTTTAACAATTGCACATTTATAATTTTACACTTTAAAAATTTAAAAAAAAGCAAAAAAAATATATATTAGGGGGTGGCCAAAACCGGCCGGTCCAGTACCGAAACCGCCGGTCCGGGTACCGGAACTGGTACCGCCCGGTCCGGTCACGGTACCGGTACCAAGGGGTGGCGGTACCGGAATCAACGATTCCGGAACTGTATCATGTCCCCCCCTAACGTAAATATGATCCGTGTAACGCGCGGGTGTGATACTAGCAGAGAAAATAATATTGCAAAAATAGTACTTAAAGATTAAAATATATGGAGTAACGAATTAAAGCTCTGATACATCAACCCCTTTCGTCTAAACTCATCAGCTATAACTTGTGAATAATTTAAATTAGAAATATTTGCATTAAATAGCACTAAAAACTTAAGTCATTTCTCTAAATAGCACTTAAATAGTTTTATTTCTTAAATAGCAATTAATAATGTCCATAATGTCCAGTGATGGCGAATATTTGCTTGAATAATGACTAATGCATAATGACTAAAAGTGCTAAATTGGGAAGAAAAACACATGTGGTGCTAATTAGAGAAAGTCATTATATTTTAGTGTTTTTTAAGTAAATTTCTCTTTAGATTATTCTAGTGGAAACATAATCAAAGACATCTATATATTTGAATTGAACGAAGACCACCGTCCGAATATGAACTAAAAACCAAAATGCACTAATTACTCTCTCGACCATCTAATTAAATTAAACTATGTTTAGAAAAAATATACTCCTCCGTATAGTATCAGCTAGACTTGGAGAGATACTTTGAAGTTAATCACGCTTTGGGTCTCGGCGCCGGCGCCGGCGATCGGCGGCGTCACAGCCAGGGGATGCACCGTTGGCGTCTCCAAAGAAGGATGCTCCACCTTCACCTGGTAGTCGCCGTGAAAGAGGGAAGTCTCAAAGTAGCCGCCGGCAGCGGTGGTGCCGCCCAAACCTTGGCCGCTCATTCTTTTCAGGACGCCGTCGACGACGTCTCCGGTGGGCAGGTTTTTGAAACTGTTGTCGGTCAAACACATTTTGTAACACCCGTCCGGTTTCCATGCCGACCATATTACGATGCCTTGCACCGCCGGATGTGACACCAGCTCGTTTAGTATTTGTTCCAATAGTATTCCCTGCATCTCACAACAAACACAAATTCAAATTGTTATTCTCACTCTTTTATTTAATGTATGGTCAATTTTTACTCGGCTCGGCTAAAATTCACAATTGTTCCTTCAACTTTATCAGTTGTGCACGATTAGTCCTTCAAGTTTCAAAAGTCCATAAATAGTCCTTCAACTTTATGAGTTCTGCACCATTGGTCCTTCAAGTTTCAAAAGTCCATAACTAGTCCTTCAAGTACACGTCAGCCCTCCATATGAAGTCCTTTTGATAGTAAATATTTAAAGTTAAACGAAATATTAATTTCATATAATACGAGTAAATTCCACTAGGTACGACTACTCCCTATTATATGGAGCTAGTATTTCATTTAGCTTTTAACATTTACTCTCAAAAGGACCTCATCTGGAAGGCTGACGTGTACTTGAAGGACTATTTATGCACTTTTAAAACTTTAAGGATCAATCGTGCATAACTCATAAAGTTGAAGGACTATTTACGAAGTTTTAAAACTTGAAGGACCAATCGTGCACAATTGATAAAGTTGAAGGACCAATTGTGGAGTTTAATTAGCCATTTTTACTGCAAAACAAGTAAAAACTGGAAAAAACAATCTTCGACGGAAGTGTTATATACGAGTATCTTACTTTCTATTTTGACTTTTGTATTCAACGTTTTTAAATAGGAAAAAGATTAAAATAAGAGTAAATTATAAAAAAATATGCTAAAATAAAAGTTTTGTATTTTTATTCTCAGAATAAGTGTTAAGATGCATATCTAATGTAAATCATGCCAATATATAATACCAAAAATTATTATGAAATGTCCATATAGAATTTTATATTATCATAATTCAAACTTTTATTTTAAAGATAAAAATATAGAATTTCTATTTTAGTAATTTTTTCTATGATTTTATTTCTACTGAGGGAGATTCTTTTTTAAAATTCTGACGATATATTAACTTTGATATACATTTAACATCAATAGATAAATTTATTTTAATATATATAGTTCTGAAAGGTTATATTTTTATAATCTACGCTTATATATAAATTGAGATATAAATAGTCAAAATATTATTACAATTAGAGATCGTGAACGTTAAATAAGAAGAAAAATATGAAATGAAGGGAAATATATTTTTTCTTATTTTAAATTTGTACATTTGAAAAAGAAAAGAATGAAAAAGAGTTTAAGATGAAAAATAAAAAAATTTCCATCTTTAAATTTTATTTAGGTAGATTTGTTAGAAATGATAATTAAGAAAGTAGAAAAAGCAAAAGTAAGGAGGTCGTCGTACTATACCTGGTTAGCTCGCGGGCTAACATCCAACTCGGTAATCCAAATGGGGAGATTAGTGCTGGCGAGCGTATCAATGGCGGACCTAACATACGCCAAGTCCGGGACACCAAAGTGGGCCTCCAGCCCGATGCCCAAAGGCCCATTATATCCATGGGCTCGGAGCTCCCCGATCTTGTCAAGGTACTTGCTCGGGGTCGAATACGAGTCCTCCTGGTGCTCTATTGTGTTGTAATCGTTCAAAAATGGCGTCGCCTTCCCGTCCAAAACGCTCGTCAGATTATAGTAAACCGCAGACGCGCCTGGGCCCAGCTTCTCCTCGAAGAAATGATGGTGAAGGTTTTCGTTCACCACGTCCCAATGTATCACCTGCCAAGAAAAAAGTCACAATATTTTGAACCTTTCACGTGAAACTTTAATATTTTAAAAAAAAATGTGTGACAGTGAGGCACAAACGAAACTCGTGCTTCTTGGTGAACAAGGCTCTGATAATACCTGTCCAGCATACCGCTTGACGAAAGAGTTAATCCTTTCGGAAGCAGCGGCAGACAGTTGGCTAGGGGTGAGGTTTGGGACCCAGTAGGGCAATAACTTGGGGTCGTCCCAGAAGACGTTGTGGCCACGGAGAGTGACGCCTCGGTTTTGGACGAGCTGGAGCATGGCGTCGGAAACGGAGTAGTCCTCGCGGCCCTGGGACGGCTCAGTGCTGTACCATTTCATCTCGTTCTCGAAAACGGTGTACTTGAACCGGGAGAAGAACCAGGCTTGGTAGGCGTTGTTGTTCAGGATGTTGTTGTTGATGGCGCATCCCAATGGGAAGTTTGGCCTTCCGCTCACCACGGCCACTGTGGCATTTGGCAATGGGTTTCCTTCAGAATCCACTATTTGAATTGATACCTTTGATTTTCGTACCTACACATAATTTTCAATCAACAGAACATTAGAAATCACCCTAAATAGGACTAAAACATAGAAAAAAATACTAAAACAGAACTTTCATGTTTTTATTGAATCTGATAAAACCAAATCAAGTCAAAAACTATTTTAAATTAAATGAAATTAAATGCACATTTTTCCAATGTACTACAAATGCTTTTGACACAATTAGTATAAGATAGTTACCTTCTCAATGCTCTTAACTTGGTGAGCAGTCCATTGCTCTGGGGTGAATTCTTTTACTGATATGCTATCACCCCATATCTCGGTTTGAGTATTGTTACTCTGCAGAAATAGTAAGAGAATATATTAATCTAATTATTTAACAAACCTTATTTTTAAAAGGGTGAATTAATTTACTTTTTAAACATAATGGATGGCCAATTCTGATTTGATAGTATGAGAAGTGTTTAGATTAAAAAAAGTACCTGAAAATATAACTCGAAAGTAGCCGAGTCATTAGAAACGAAACCACCCTTAAACATGGACCAACAACCAGACCGGGCAATAACCCAGGCTACATATTCATAGCCACTTGGTGTTTTGAGCAAGACCGATACATCACTTTTAGTGTCATCGCTTATTTGTATCCAACCTATAAATAATTAATAAATATTATTATGTCACATTAATAACGGTAAAAAGCCGTATAATTAAAATTCTTTTGGACGGAGAGACTAGTATTTACACAATATCCAATTAGATTTATAAAAAAAATAAATCCAAAATATATATATATATATATATACCTGAAACTGTGTAGTGATGGCCCTTCTTCAAATCAATCTTTTGAGAGAACCCATCATGCGGGACTTTTCTATTAGAAGCAATGATGAAGTTGTTTCCTTCCATTGAAGTTCCTTTGGTTAGGTTTACTTGATTATTTCCGAAACTCAACCAGCCGTTCAGTCCATCGTTGAACTCCGGATTCACGACCATCCCTCCATTGTATTGAGGTTTTAGAGGATTTTTCATACACTGCGTGTGCGAGTTACAATTAAATATTTGCGTCATCTCTCAAATACATGAACACTCTCCGATTCTTCTCTAAATAATTTGGATGTTTGATATTGCAAATGTTTGATTTTGTTTTCAATTCAATTATTTTAAAATTAAGGTAACGTTCATTTAAAAAAATAATTAAGGTAACATTTATAAATAAAATTACACAATACTCTCTCGTTCCCCAAAAACATGAGAGATTTTGATTTTTAAGAAATTTCCAAATATGTCCTTTGATGCGATGTGTAAAAAATAGGATTTTGATAGGTAGATTAATAATGAATAAATGTGATGCGATAGGTAATATGGGTAAAAGTGAATCATTAATAAAAATGGGAAAAGTTTTTTGAGACGGATGAAAAAAGAAAGAAAAAGGTTTTTGGATAGAGCGAGAGTATATATTTAAAAACAACATACAAAATAAGATATGTCAACACTTTCATTTTATCTAAAGAGTAATGATATTTAAATTAATTGGATAGTAATTTGGTAATTCTAACATCCACGTCTAATATGTTGAACTACCCACAAAAGGTAGAAGCAAAGGTCCATCAACATTAAAAAAAAAGTTAAATATTTTAAATAAGATCCACAAAATAAAGATGGACCTAAAGTATGTCCACCAAAATATTTGTCAAATTTTATTGTTAATTAGGGATAGAAGTCGTAATTAGTTATTAGTAATTACCTCATTAGAGAAGCTGTAATCATAATCCTCCCCATAGACTTGAAACCCTGCAGGGTAAAGACAGAAACATAATTCAACCAATTTTCTTGATTGACAATGGTATTCGGTATCTCTTTAATTTGCGAAGATTAGTGTGGACAATTATAGCATTCATCAAACCATAACCCTACATAATTCTATACCCAGAGTTTGTATAAATTATCCAAATTTGGGGTTATGTATGTTTAAAATTATATTATGATCATATATTTTTGCCAATTGTAAAATTTTATATTCCATGTTCCAATTTTTTTTTATTTTTCGCGATTGTTAATATAATAATTTGATTATTAATAACTGTAATTGTACATATATTAATATTTTAAAAATTTCAATATATCAATTATCAACATACACTATTTTTGCATGAAAATATAAAACTTATATTTTAAATTAAATAAATATATGGAGTACCATTTTTCAAATTTATGTCTAAGTTCATTAAATTTTATAGAGAAAATTAAAATGTCAAGATTTTTTTTGGGGCGAAGGAAATATTTCTTATTTTGAAAAAAGAATTCTTAAAAAATGAGTACCAAACCAATACCAAAAATTCTCAAAAAAAACAAACCAACAAATACCAAATCGAAAAAGTACCATTAAAATACCAAACCGAATGTTTAGTTCGGTATTTGGTAACGATACGAGTTAACTTCTCACACCAAAAATTTTGAACCAAATATATATACTAATATTATGAATTCAATAATCTTCTTACATTTTTTATTGAATAATAAGTTTATTTTTAAAATTTAGCTCAAATTTTAGTATGTGTACATTGTATTTTTATTAACACACGTTTGAAATAGCATTTTGTTTTCATCCGTTCACTGTAGCATTTGAAATAGCATTTTTTTTTCATTTTTTATATTTTTTATTTAAATATACTTTTTATATTTTTAAAAATATATGTGTGACATTTTAAATTTTAAATTAGGTGCATATAGATTCATACCAATTTATCCCGAAACCGATACCGAACCATCTCGAACCATACCGAACCAAAATTTTTAAATCGGGATCGGTACAACGTAAAATCACATACCGGACAGAAATATTTGGTCTAGTGTCGGTACAAACTAAATATTGTACCATGCTCATACCTAGTATTACTACTATTTTGTACCGAGTATGTGATTTTCTTTATAACATAGGAGTGTTTATGTATAATCTACTTTAGGAAATCGGATTTTACTAGAAAATATATTTAAAAAAATCATTTACAAAGCAGCATATTCTTTTGTAGTCTTCAAATCTAAACTCATTTTAAGGACCTTAATATATAAATATCATGGATCAATTGAACTTTTGAAAAAAATATAAGATCTCATGTCGACTAATGAAAAGTGTGAGAAAGTTTACATTTCACCTGTGAATCATAGAATCATAGAAGCACAACTTTTACAAAGGTACGTAGGTAATCGAACAACAAGCTGCAACTCCCTTTTGGAATTACTTGTATTTTAAATTGTTTAGAGAAATGAATTAAGTTTTTGTGCTATTTAGTGCAAATATTTCTTTTAAATTTACTAAAATAGAACTCGAAAAAAATGACACAAACTTTATAAACATACCATTTTTAAATTTAAGTGATCACTTTTCAATTATTTAAAAGAGTTTGATTCCTTTAATAAGGTTACTAAATATATAATTATATACTCTATAAAATTCGTGATATTTGTGTCGTTATTGTTTGTGACTTAGATGAGTCCTGATATTTCTCTTCCTAAATTTAAAGCTACGCCTTCAGTCAAGTGCCAATTTTCATTTTATTTAACGTTTTTTTTAATTTCAATAAATATTACTCCGTCCGTCCCTGAAAACCTTTCTCTTTTCTTTTTTCATTCGTCCCAAAAAACATTTCTCATTTTTATTAAAAAGTCACTTTTACCCTTTACTTTTTCATACCCTACCTATCACATCATACCTTTTTACTAATAATCTATCCATCAAATCATACTTTTTACCCATCACATCAAAGGACATTTTTGAAAATTCAATACCAAAATACACTACCCTTAAATCCCTTTTCAAAATCAAAACTTCCATGTTTTTCGGAACGGAGGGAGTATTTATTACTCTCTTCGTTCCATAAAACCCTTCCCCTTTCATTTTTTCTAATTCCCTAGAACAATTCCACTTTCTATTAAAAAACCACTTTTACCCCTATTTTTCATACTCTACCTATCAAATCATACGTTTTAACTAATAACCAAACTATCATATCTTACTTTTACCCATCACATCAGGGACAAAATTGGAAAGTCAACTAAAATTATATTTTCCTTATTTTGGCCCAAAGTCAAAATGAGAATAGTTTTAATGAACGGAGGGAGTATAATCTAAATATTTATTTAAAAATATGTACCCGTAGCAATGAGTGCAAAGAATGTGCATAAAACACATAAAACGTCTTTTCCTCTCATAGATATCTCCTTGACAAATAATGGCCAACCTACACACATAAATTGATGATTCTGAGTTAGAGAAACCCAACGCAACAAATAAAAGGTTTATATATATGCCATATATGTTGCAACGAAAACGATTTGGCTAAAGAAATATGTCAAGTATTTAATTAGAGGAGACATTTTAGAACCAATAAAAAATCAACCTGTTGTACGATATTTTTCGTACATCCACAGTGAATGCTCATTTACGAGCAATTGAATATTTATTTTCAAACAACAAAATAATACTCATTTTCAAGCAACAAAATACTCATTTTCGAGTAATCTGAATATATTTTTTTTGAAAAATCAATTATGCTTGAAAATGAGGATTATGTTACACGAATATAAGTATTCAGTTACTCGAAATTAAGTATTCAAGTAGATGTACGGAAAATATTGTACGTCCAATTATAGAGTATAAGTACTCAATTTCATACCTTGCAAGGTAAGGGTAATATATGAAAGCTTAGGGCTGATTGAAACCTAAAGAAGAAGGACAAAAATTGCACGGAGAACTAATATATATATATATATATATATATATATATATATATATATATATATATATATATATATATATATATATATATATATATAGTCCTCGTACTACGTAATGCTTCTAATGCATGACTTACCATGCATATATAACTTGATTTTCTTTGAAACGGAAATATATAGAAAGTAATTAATGATTGTGTCAACTATAACATTTCTAAAAATTAAACAAGTCCTTATCAAAAACGGTAAATACGACTTAACTTAAATACTTAGACCTTGCAATAAATTGATTTATTTTTTTAGGAATAATAGAGATAATTAATATTCTTTCCATTTCACATAACACTTTAGCCCTAATTTTTCGTGCACCCTATAAAACAATTTTACTCCATATAAAATGTCTAAAATACTCTCAAAACAATTTCTACTGCAATAAACTACGAAATAAAAGTTTACTTAAGACATTTTAAGTGTGGTAAAAGTATTTTGTTAAACGGAGGGAGTAAGAAAATACTTTAGAAAATTATATCTACTGTTTTTGAATGGAGAGTAACAGATATAGAGTAATTGTTTCAACTTTCAAATTTTAAAATTTACTCCGTGGTAAATTAGTGATTAAAAAAAGATATGGAGTATGGATTTTTGGTTCGGTTAACCGATTTAAGTTTAAAAAAAGGGGGAATTACCTAAATAATCCTTTAATATAAAATTGAGTAAATTCTTTTAATAGTCCTTTATAAATGGGGGGTTTCTATATTTAGTCTACATTTATCAAATATTAAGTAGACAGTCCTTATTAATTGGGTAGCATTCCACGTTTAGTCCTCTGTCTATTTTTCCATCTCCATAACATTAGACAAGGACCAAGCGTGGAATGGTACTCAATCAATAAGGACCACGAGGTAGTACTTTCAATATTAAAAATGAATTAAAAAAGTAAACTCTCCAAATAGTCCTTTATAGCGGGAGAATTTCCATATTTAGTCCATATTATCAAATATTATTTTTATGGTCCTTATTGATTGGGTACCGTTCCACGTTTGGTTCCTTGTCTAACGGCATGGAGACAGAAAAATAGACGGAGGACTAAACGTGAAATGATACCCAATTAATAAGGACTTTCAATATAATATTTGATAAATGTGGACTAAATATGGATACCCCCAATTTATAAAGGACTATTTAAAGAATTTACTCTATAAAATTTGAGAGTTTGATTTGTAAGAATGTGACATGTGGCAACCCTTAGCAGTCCGGATCTATGAAACCCTAATCGCCGTACATTGGGGATTTCTCAATCCGACACCAAATTGAGCAATTGATGGGTCCTTGGAGATCGTGGAGACAGCAGGAACACATTTGGAAGGGTGCGCGACCGGAATATTGCAGGAGATGGCCGCAAAAGTCAGAGACCCGAGAGTGAATGGCGGATCGGGTTGGAACTTCAAT